TGATTTGGAGAGAGAGAGGAGAGAGGAGAGAGAGAGGAGGCAGGACGATGACGAAGACGGAGAAGACGACGAGTAGGAGAATCGAAGAGAGGCATGACTGAGAGAACGAGAAAGTACGAGGAGAGAGAGAAGGCAACGAGAGAGAGAGGAAGAGAGAGAGAGACAGTCACCCGCGCGCAGTACTGTTATCAGTTACGTCATCGATTGAACTGTGAAATTCGCATTTGACTCCGCGCGACGGCGTCCAAAACTTTTCGACAAAGATGGCGCCGGAGAGGTAGGGCAACGCACGTATAACGTACGGATCTTAAAATGTCGGGGAGGATCTGAATCACACATTTTCGTACTGCAGTAACCATCGGAGCTCTCGGCAGCGTCACAAGCCCGCATGCTCAACCATATCCGACATTGCCCACTACTGTAAATGTCGACGGAGAAAGCCATGCAGGCAGCTACAAACTTGGCCAATTTTCATTGGGGAGGGCTTGACGATTCAATTCTGCCAATGTACTAACATCAAGATTGGATTAACAGATAGTTAAGAAAGTAATTTTTCTGCACTTTTTCGGAGCGCATATTACATATTGACTATCCTGGACCCAAGTATTCTTCTCACTACTTGTTCCGATAGATGGGACCGGTGCATACATTGCCCATTGTCTTACGTAAGACTGGTACCGGTTCCACCTCTCGGCTTGCTTACTCGAGTGGAGCGAGTAAATCGAAGGTGTGGGCGAGATACAGTCTCGTTGTAGCCCATGCTGTGTACTATCAGCCATGCCTATCAGCACCTCACTGCGAGGTAGTGACTATATTATGTTGGCCTTAATCAAACAACGTTTGACATAGTGCTAATTGACATTGTATCCCAACGGTACAGAATCTCATGGTAGGACTTGCCGTTCTATATGATTTAGGTTGTTAAACGTTGTTCAAGTAAGTTTTGCATGCAGAATTTCACTGTGAAATTTAGTCTTCACGTCCCAACTACATGGCACACAGGTTCAGTCCTTTTTGTTAACAGTAAACAATCCTTGTTTAACACGCTCCTCTTGAGGGTCTAAAAGCGTTATCAACACTTACTCTTCACACGTCAGGTATGACGAAAGCAATTCTCGATGCGTCCTTTCAATACAAGACCCATTAAAAATGGAATAGGTCCCGCCTGAAACAAAAAGTTTTTTCAATCGCTCCGGTCAGAACCAGTGTCCTCAGAAATGTCTAATCTGCCCTGTGCCCCATTGCTTTGACCTGTTGACCTCCGCAATTCCAGCCACGAGGTGGATGGGTTTTCCTACTGAATTCTACTACCACGACTATTTCCGAGCTACGGTTCGAAGCTGGGTTTTAGATTTGTGCCCCACAACTTCTGATTTCCTCTTTGATCCTTAAGTTAAGGATGGGCAATGCTTATCCCCGCTTTCCTTTTACACCTTGCCCTTTCGACCTTTGACCCCCAGCTTCGACATCCCAAAGTCCGTTTTTCGGATTACCCCACCCCGTCCACGAATATCGTAGACCGTACGTTCGAGCGGGTTAAAATTTGTGCAACTAGTTGACGCAACGGACGACGCGAGACGCACGACGGCGGACGATCATGCGATATCTCAAAGGCTGGCATCTGACTAATTCAGATGCAGCTAACAGTGACAGCGGAGCGGAAGCGCCTCATCTAAACGTCTACTGCGGATGGACGCTCTGCTGTGAGGTGGAGTGGTGGGATTCTAGTGAAACCCTGTTAGTCCCAAATGATGTTCACATACCCAGCCGGACAAGTGGAAAGACAGGATGGTATTCAGCGGAACGCTTCTTCAAGGAATGATCGTTGCGGTACGTTATGGAATGTTGCACGCGATGGGACCACGTTTAACGTGTCCATTCAGATTAAGATGGAAGCTTCCATCGTAGTCGTAGTAGTAACAAATATTTTGCAGAACAGAATAGGTAAGCACCAATGCCATTTACACTACGCAAGCTACAGGCTGAATAGAGAGCTGCCCAGCCTGGTAACTAATTCACGCAGGCAAAAACTACACAGTACCCACACGCAATGCCTGGCAACTGGCTAGCTGGCACTGGGCAGTGGCTCCGTTACTATGCTAAACACAAACTGACATACAGAATGCCATAGAATTTATACATGTTAAGGAGCATAAACAAAAAAACGACAATTCATTCAACCAATTTAGCTTTCTTGAAATTTCAATCTGTGAACATTATAGCCTCATACATCCTAGGCTCAATGTATAGTTCCTACTAGCGAAAACCGGCAGTCATTCTTCTTTACCAGTAAAGAAATCCATGTTTAACCCGCCTCTTGAGGGTCAAAAGGTTATCCAACACTTACTCTTCGCATGTCGCACGGCCGGACGCATGCTCATGCGATTCTACAAGCTGCATCTGACTATGTCAGATGAGCTAAAAAGTAGACCTGTAGTCGCTAACACGGCTGAAACCACCGCCTCGGAAGGTCGGTGTTTTGCCAATTTGAATGTTACTGGCCCTCCAAATTATTTACCGGCATATACTGGTGGGCCGGTGCTAGTTTCGCACCCTGTATATAGTATGGCCTAATAGGGGGCCTAATAGATTAATTCACGTACCAATTGAATAAAGACAAATTGCCAACTTGATCTCATACATGCTACAGAAACTGTTCTATTTCTTTTCTATTCTCTACTTCTGATATATATTCTTGAGAGACCATTTATAATTGTATACTGAACAACTTGTACTTACAACATCATGAATTCGTCTCGTTGATCAACATCCGGTCGCTTTCCAGAAGAATGGTGATAGCTGTTGCTGGAACGACTGTCCAGCTCCCTACTGCCGGGATTGTATCTAGCCTCGTGGTCACCTTGAACACCATGGCTGGGCCGATAAGGATAGCGCTGATTGACGACACCACCATCGCCTTCTTGCCTTTTGTAATATCGCCCTTGGTTTCCCATACCTTCTTTGCTATAGCGATTCGATCCTGATTCTTCGTGTCTGCGATCATAACGATCTGGTGATTTAGGCCTTACTTGTGACTGTGACCCTGACGACGACCTTTGCATATTGTCCATTCTACCATGTCTCTGCAAACTCTTTTTTGAGACTGTGGGCGATCGAGACTTTTTTCTATATTTTCTGTCACTATCAGTGTAACGGGTAGCACGGCGTCGTTCATCACTAGATGTAATAGGCGACCGAGATCTGGTCTTGGAGCCAGAAGATCTGCTATCATCCGAATCACGTGCTGAATTATTGCTTGAACTTCTGGAACTTGACCTGGATCTGGCCATTTTTCAGTTTATGGTGAGCAGTCTGTGCAGTTTTGCAGTTGAGCAGTTTGTGCAAAAACTATTGCTTGCAATGACACTTACTTGAATTACAATATTTATAATTGCAGTTTCTACCTGCAGAAAAAAGAAAACAAAAGCATGATTAGGCAAGCACTCTGCATATATACGTTTAGATATCTTTTCTGTATGCTAAATCGGTGTTTGTATCTTTCACTCTCAAATATTTACATGCTGGTACAGCAGGGTGATCCACAACCTAAAAATTCAAACATGTAAAACTGGGAACTTGCGGCCAGGGTCCAGGGGTTTTAGATGCTCTCTGGTGCAATCTGAGCCTTATTTTGGAGCATTTTTAACACAAAAATTATTATCTATACATGTCAAAATAATTTGGTTCGAGTCAAGAGTCATGAGTGATGAGTCATTTTTCATTGTTCAATTTGTATACTAGTGTGAATGTAATCAGTAAAATGTTATAAAGCAATGTGCGAAAAATGCAAATAAATATACTATGTAAGGTGAAACTATATTTCGCTATATTTTGTTCGGATTGAGTGCCGTTACTGAGTAGAAATCTCGTAATAAAATCTTTAAATTCCCAGTTTCTTTTTCCTTATTGCTACCCAGGCATCTTCTGCTGCCTCATGGAAGGGGATGTCCTGAGCTGATGGGCCTTCCACAGACACGATCAGAAATAGGCTGGTTATTGTAAGCTGTTTTTTATTCATGGCGGATTGTGAAGCGCTATAATATGAAGCTCAGGACAAGTGAAAGTCTATGTCGAACAAGTTATTCGTTTGGCTAGTTGCCCGATTGGACAACTAAACAAGTGCCGCGGAGCGACAGCGCTCATCTAACGTCTACTGCGGTGACTCTGTGGTGGAGTGGTGGGATTCTAGTAAACCCTGTTAGTCCCAAATGTGTTCACATAC